GAGGAGGAGGGGTGGGGGGTGGCTGGCATTCGCTGAGCAGAAAGCCTGGAGCAGAAGAGAGTCTTGGCGGGAAAACCAGGCCTTCTGTTGGAATCAAAGGGTGCCAACCCGGTGAAGATAACCCAGACACCCAGGTAGTGGTGTTCACTCAGCAGGGGCTCCGTGTGCGGGGAAATCAGTGGAAATGTCCAGGCCAGAGATGGGAACTTGGGGGCCTTGGGTTACAGGCGGCAGGGAGGCCACAGAGCTGGCCCGGATCTCGCGGGGAGGAGAGCACAAGCAAGGACAGGGCAGGGGTAGATGCTAGGACCTCCGCCGCCCCAGCCCGCAGAAGTGGGGGAGAAGGGGACCCCCCACGGAGTCTGAGAATGAGCGACCTGGGAAACGAGACGGGACAAGCGAGACACTGCGGGGCCCAGGAAGCCAAGCCAAGGCAGCGGATCAGGAAGGAAGGGCAACTCTGTGGGAGCTGAAGAGACGCGGAAGTGCCCCCCGTATCTGGCGACGCAGAGGGGTGCCGGTGCCCCTGTCCGGGGAGTGGCCGCGCAGCCTGGGCCCTGGGGCCAGATGGCAGGGCGTGGAGACTGTGGCGGGGGGGCTGCGCCGTGCGTGGGCGGCAGGGAGCGATCAGGAAAGCGAGGGATCTGAGAAGGCGTCCCCATCGCACGCTGACACGGCGGAAGAGAAAGCGACCCCCCCGATGAATGCTGCGGAGGTTGTTGGCCCAACAACAACGGAGCAAGCTTCCGATAAGTGCCCCATCGTGCTTCTTGTGCTTTGTGTTTTGTTTTCTGGTGGTTTTGTTTTGTTATGTTTGTAATTTAAAATTTTTTTTAATGTCTATTAATTTTTGACAGAGAGAGAGAGACAGAGCATGAACGGGGGAGGGGCAGAGAGAGAGGGAGACATAGAATCCGAAACAGGCTCCGGGCTCCGAGCTGTCAGCACAGAGCCCGACGCGGGGCTCGAGCTCACGGACCGTGAGATCATGACCTGAGCCGAAGTCGGACGCTCAACCGACTGAGCCACCCAGGCGCCCCGATGTTTGTAATTTTAAAGCCCGTGAAATTCAAAAGCGTACAAACCGCCGGATTAGGAGAGAACCAGCCTGCGAACAGGGCAGAGCAGCAGCATGGGGGGACGAATGACCATCATTTTCGGCCACACTTACTTCCCCGAAGTCCTCGTGGCTTTCCCTCCGTCCCTTCAGCGTTTGCCCAAATGTTAACCTCCCAACAACGCCTGGCTCGTCTCCCTTGTTTAACACGGACCCACCACACTCTTGCCTTCATTTTCCCTGATTTATTTCTCCTCTTTACCTAACCTTATAGATGCCACATGTTTATTATTCATGTATTTATTGTCGGTGTCTCTCCACTGTACTATAAGATGGGACTTCTTTCTGTTTTGTGTCCTGCTGTCCCTGGAGCCCAAAGCAATGCCAGGCATACGGGTCTGCCCAATAAGGAGTTGTCAAAATGATTTCTTAGTTGTTTTAGCTCAAGCTTCTGGTGTGACAGGTTCTTGGGGGTAAGGCAGAGAAAGGAGGGTACGGAATGAGCTGAGACCCGGTCACCAGGTGGCCAGGGTGACAAAAAGGGGCCCAGACAGGCGAGGGTCAGAGGCCACTTCTGCAGTGAAATGGGAACCACTGGGCACCAGACTTGCCAGGAGGGCATAGCTGGGTCTAACCAGGCAGGCAAACCCGACTGCAGAGACCTGGGGCAGGCCCCCGCTGGGCGGGGAGGTCGGCCCAGGGGTCGGCCCTCAACGTCCAGAACTCTGTTCCCTGCAAGAGGACCTAGCAAGAACAAGGCCAAAAAGATGGGACTGGCTGGCAGAGCCCCGAGCCGTGGGAGGGAGGCTGGCAAGGACAGATCAGCATGGCTGGAATCAAAGCCAAAAACTCAAGCTGGAGAATTGCCACCAGGAGGGAAGAATGAGGGCCTGGAAAGCCACTGGTCATGCCTGGACTATCAGTGCGAATCCCTGAGACACCAGAGCCGCCGTTGGGTCAGCCCTGAGATACCCCAAAACCCCGGGCCAAGGCTATGAAATTTCAGAAGTCCAAGACAACTGCAACCCTGCACCCTTTTATTGGTAAAAAGACGACATATCCGACCCCTGGCTCGCTCTGGGGCCCGGGGAGTGCTGGGCCTTTTATCAGTGGTTCTCAGAGTATGGTCCCAGTCCGGCTGTACCCGCGTCATCTGCAAGGCTGTCAGAAATGCAGGTTCTCAGGCCCCACCCCGGGCCTCACCCAGCTAAGAGGCCAGGACTCCTGTTTCCTTCCCGTCCAACGTTCATTTTGTTTGCTTTCTTAATTTGTTAATGTTTATTTATTGATTGTTTATTTAATGTAACATAATGTTAATGAGAGAGACAGCGTGCCAGCGGGGGAGGGGCAGAGAGAGCGGGACACACAGAATCCGAAGCAGGCTCCGGGCTCCACGCTGTCAGCACAGAGCCCGACGCGGGGCTCGAACTCACGGACCGCGAGATCGTGACCTGAGCCGAAGTCGGACGCTCAACCGACCGAGCCACCCAGGCGCCCCCGTTTTGTTTACTTTAAAAAGTGCGCACCGGGGCTCCCGGCTGGCTCAGCCAGAAGAGCGTGCGACCCTTGATCTCGCGGGTCACAACGTCAAGCCCCACTATGGGTGTACAGATTACTTACAAATAAGTACACGTAAAAAAAGAAATGCACCGATTCTTTTTAGAGAAACATTTCATTGGGACAATGGAAATCTTACGAAGGGACCCCTAGTATCGCCATCGTGCCAACGGCTTTTAACCTGTTATTCCGGACGATTCTCCCATTAAACCCGGGAAGCTGGGGCCGGTATCATCATGCTCGTGTTTACAGATGAGAAAGTTGATGTGCAGAGATGAAATCAGTTGCCCAAGTCCCCCCAGCTAGGAAAGTTCGAGTGAGAACGGGAGCACGATGCTTGTTTCACGCCAAACGCAGGTCTTTACCGCCACGTCACGCACACGTTTACGGAGCGAAACCAGACTTCTGACCATCCCTGGTGACGGCTCGGGAACCTTCCTCTACCTCTCTGGCTGACTTCACCCATTCCTGTGGCGGGATTGTGCTCCCCGCGGCGGGGTCGGGTCTCTGCATCTTCCCAGCTTCCTCCAGCAGGTTCTCCTGCTGGCAGCCTGTTTCCCTGCCAGCCTTCTCTTTGTCCTCTCTCTGCGCTGAATGGCTGGGTGTTGCATGGCCACACACGGAGACCCTGATGCATTCTTTCCCGAAATTAAGAGGAGCCTGGAATCGGAATTGGCTGGCCTACTTCCACATCTCCACACTCCCTTCTACACGTCTCTATAAATTGCGTTCCTGTTATAGTGAATCCAACTTGCTGCGTTTCAAAAAAAAAAAAAAAAAAAAAAAAAATCACGCTGGCGGAGAATCAAGACATTCTCTAACCCTCCCTGATCCCCTCCAACACACACGCAGCCTTTTTTTTTTGGCCACAGGAAATGCATTTGTTCCTTAGAGAAACACCCACGAGGCCCATTGGCGTAAACGTCGGAAGGTCAGGAAGCTCACTCGCAGACTCGCTTATCATCAAGTTGTAACTCAGAGATGTAGCCTGTTTCTTTAGCTGAACATCCTGGGCAACAAATTTGTCATCAGGATGTGTCGGTTGAGAATCTTGGGCAACCCACTGACCCTCTGAGCCTCGATTTCCTAGTAGGCATGCAGGGATCGTAGTATCTTCCCTTCTACCGATCACTCACTCAATCGACATTTATTGCAAAGTAGGTCGGTATGACTGGAGAAGGACAAGCGACACCATTAGTGAAGGTACTTTGAAAACGGTGTGGCCCTACAGAAGTGGAAAGCTTTGACACTGTCATTTCAAAAGGCCAACGCGATAGCGCTTAGTGTTGTTCACCAAATATTTCTGGCTCTCTTCCTTCCGGGCACTTGGTAACAGTCAACTTCCCGGACCCGTTGTGGTTAGGTGGAATCCAGGTCTGGCCAAGGAGGGGTGCCTGGGGTTGCCGTGATGCTAAGAGCTTTAAACATGTCGCTTCTGGGCTAGGACATTTAATTGCCGGTTTGAAGCCCTCCAAAATGCTCTTTTCTCTGCCGTGGTCACCAGTGACCTTTCAGACAGTGACCGCTCCTTCAGCCCGGGTCCCCTAGTTTGGAAGACACTGAGGTCAAGGCGATTGGCCGTGGGCATGTCGCACGAGCAAGAAAAAACTGTTACTGTTTTCGTGTTGGAGATACCTTGTTACTGATGCATAACTTATTGTACCCTGATGGAGACAACCAAATTAATCATCGGATGAACTGTATCATTGATAAGTAATTCCTGTGGCTCTTCTCTTTCTCTCAGTGGTTGGCTAAGCGCAAGGTCATTTCTAAGGATGCATCAGAATTCGGACAAAGGAACAACCCTTAATGTCATCCTCAGATACTTCCTCAGCCGCCTTACAAGGTAGGTCTGTTTATAAAATGTCTCAATCCATTATTGCTGTGTAACACCGTATTGCTTTTTAGTCTTTAACCCTCTTCTGAAGGAACGTTCGAAGCAAAGTAAACGGAGAGAAATCGTTTTCTTCATGAAGTTGGTTTTTGCTGTCTAGCAGCTTTTGCCAGCGGAAGATGCCGATTTTCATGATATTTGCCCTAATAGAATTTGAACTATATGAAACCAGCAGAAACCTCCTTATTCCTCCACTGACGGGCAGCAGATTTCCATAAATGTGCTGTCCGATTTCCATGGAACGTGTCTTCAACGGGAGAATGTGTATGTCTTGTACGAACTAGTGGTAATTGTGTCCTGTAAATAAGAGTACCGATGGTGATGATAAAAATCAAATAGGATACAGCAAAGAGAGGCACTGGTGGAAGCTTGGGGTGATGGTGGTTCTGCTGGGGGAGGGGGGGTGGACGTGGCCCTCCTTACGAATGGGTGGTTGGTTGACGCAGGAGGAGATAGAGTCCTGGGACGGAGGATGGAACCCGTGATGCAGTAAAGACACAGGGAGCTTGGGAAGCAGAGGAAACTTCAGCTGATGGAACCCACCCCTCCTTTTGTACAGTCTCTAAATCACGGTTTGTTGCTGACTGAGCTAGAGCTGGCTCTCGTTACTTATGGCCGTTGCCTCTCTTGTCACGCTTCGTTGTCACAGAGCGGGAAGGGGCTGTTGCAACAATCTTGTGGGCTAGGAAAATGGAGTGGGTACGTTCTGACTCTGGTTTGTCAAATCTTTCATGCTGGCTCAGTCCTCTACCAGCTACGTGACCTGGAGGCAGTGCCGCACCCTTTCCGGGCTTGAGTTTTCTCATCTCAAAAAATGGGAAGAATGACGGCACTCACTCCACGGGACTCTTGCGAGGATCAACGTTTATTTATTTTTGGGACAGAGAGAGACAGAGCATGAACGGGGGAGGGGCGGCGAGAGAGGGAGACGCAGAATCGGAAACAGGCTCCAGGCTCCGAGCCGTCAGCCCAGAGCCCGACGCGGGGCTCGAACTCGCGGACCGCGAGATCGTGACCTGAGCCGAAGTCGGCCGCTCAATCGACTGCGCCACCCAGGCGCCCCTCTTGCGAGGATTAAATGAGAGCACGTGTGCTGAGAACTCAGAGGCACGTGTGACACACAGTAAGCCCTTCTGCAAGTAGAAGCTGTCGTTGTTACTGTGGTCGCCACTCACACCTTTTAACTTTTCCGGAAAATAGGGTAAGAATGAATATGGGGTACGGAATGGGCCTCTGTTGATTTCTTTTCACCGTGGCCTTTGCGGTTTCTTCCAAACTCCGTTGAACCTAGCCCTTGTCCCGGATGCTTGACAGACTCCTTATTCCTTTTTTTTGGGTGCGTGGCCCTGGGTTTAGCATGTCGTGCCCTGTGGTCTTCTGGAGGAGAGGGACCGATTGACATTCAGGCCACAGGTTCTTAGTGATAAATGCTGATGTGGTGTTAGGGGGTGGGGCGTGGGATCCAATGGTGGCATCCGATCCAGGGCACGGTGGGTTCTGCCTGGGAAATCTGCTTCAGAAGAAAAGTCCTGTTCTGGGGGACTGAAGGACAGGAAGTGTTTTAGCAGGCAGATAAAGCAGTAGTGTGTATGTGTGTGTGTGTGTGTGTGTGTGTGTGTCTGTGTGTGAGAGGTCTTATGGGTCAAGATGGTGGTGAGGATCCCCGTGAGGAAACTATTGCAATATTTGGGGAGGATAGCAGATCTGGACTGACAATTGGCCGTGGGAACAGAGAGAGGGCAAGTCAAGGATACTCAGAATTTCCAATCTGCACAAGATGGCGGACGGTGGTGATGTTCTTGAGGAGGGAGCTCTGAGAAAGTGGCAGATTGGAGCCAGGAAGAGAGAGTCCAACCCGGGACATAACTTTGTTGAAAAATCGGGGGAAACATCACCAGCCCAGTTTGAACTCACTCCGTAAGGGAAACCCAGTGCGAAAGCAGCCACACTCCCAGCCTCTTTGATGGTCTCATTCTTGTCACCAAAACCCACTGTTCTTACTCAGTTATGATCAATTACTTGCCTACTTATCTCCAAGAGGACTGGAAATGAGATCATTTGTTCACTCACTCATTCTGTATTTTTTATACGTTTATTTATTTATTTTGAGAGAGAGGATGTGTGCATGCAAGCACACGCAAGTGGGGGGACAGAGAGAGAGAGAGAGAACCCCAAACAAGCTCCACACTGTCAGTGCAGAGCCTGATGGGGCTTGAACTCATGAATTGTGAGATCATGACCTGAGCAGAAATCAACAGTAAGGCGCTCAAACGACTGAGCCACCTAGGCACCCCTCTTTCTGTATTTATTAAGGGCCCACTGTGTGCCAGGCACTGTTGTAAGCCCTGGGGATTCAATAGTTAATAACCACGCAAGTGCCTTCTGGCCTGGAGGTTACGTTCCAGTGACCAGAGATGGATAATCCATGAATAAATATGCGACATTAAGTTGCAATATACAAATGCATTTCTAGCAGGTCAGGGACCATAGGTGGCACAAAGTGCTTATTTGGAGAAGGAGGCAAGATGGGGTCTTCTTCTGGAAGGGTAGTCAGGGAAAGTGACCTGTGTCAAAGGAAGTAAAAGAATGTTCTAAGCAAAGAGAGTGCTGTGGGGGAAGAAGGGCCCATGTGGGGAACAGGTGTTAAGGTCCTGAGAAGGGAATGTGGCTGGCATGTTTGAGAGACCGCAGAGAGCCCACTGGAGTGGAGAGAGCAGCTTGGAGAACAGGAGGGGACGAGGTCAGAGAGGTGGAGCGGGGCCCCGTGGCCAGGATCGTAGAGGGCCTGTATGCTGCTTTAAGGACCTTCTATTTTACTGGGGCACAAGAAGCCTTTGGAGGGTTCCAGCAGGGGAGTGGCACGGGCCGAGTCACATTCTCCAAGAATCACGCTGAGAATAGACAGTAAGAGGACAGGGGCAGGAGATGGGGGACCCGGGAGCTACAGCAGCTATAAGAAAGTGCAAAACGCCAGCTTCCCAGGGTAAATTGGAGCAAAGATTATGTCACGGGAAACAAGGAGAGAAGATGTCTCAGACCCTTGAGACTGTGTGATTATTCCAACTAGGGGTAACATGTTAAAAATCAGGGGTTTGGGGGCACCTATGTGGCCCAGTCGGTTATGCCTCTGACTCTTGATTTCGGCTCAGGTCATGATCGCATGGTCGGGAGACTGAGCCCGAGCTGAGCTCTGTGCTGAGTGTGGAACCTGCTTAGGTTCTCTCTGCACGCACGTGTACTCTCTCTCTCTCTCTCTCTCTCCTCAAAAAAAAAAAAAAAAAA